TAATACTTCGGTACCCGTTACTTGGTTTACGTTACTTTTACGTTTGTAACGTACCTACTTGTCTCTACAGAAGTACTTACTTATATATATATATATATATATATATATATATATATATATGGAAGATACTACAAAACGCCTATAGGTGAAAATGAACAGTGATTTCGCATACCCTCTTCACCGTGTAAAGGTCATCGCATAGTTACGATTGTCCGGTAGTGTTTCATTTTTTATTTTTTTTCTACAAATTGTTATTATTTGAAATTTAGAGTGTGTGTTCATAAAAAATAGGCGAATTTACAAAAAATGTTAAAAAAATATTTTACATGAAAACAATTGACTAAATTACCTGCGAAAATTCTCGGGGGTATTTTGGTTAATTTGTTTTTCACAATTTATTATTATTTTTTTATATTTTTATTAGGTGCGCCTCACTAAGATGTACACACGCTTCACATTTTAGGTCATTCCGATTAGTAAAACAAATGGAAAAAATGAAATACTATTAGATAATTGTGATCGTGGGATGAACTTTGGACGGTGATGAGGGTAGGCGAAATCACTGTTCATTTTCGCTTATGGGTGTTAAAAAGACTTTAATATATATATATATATATATATATTTATAGGCCAAGCTTTCTATGCTTCCCCTACAACATAGAAGTTCTATTCTCCCCTTTATTCAACCCTCTATTCTGAATGGAGGTCTAAGATTGCCCCAATCACAATGTCACGTCTCTACATTATTTTATTATTAATTATTTTTCTATAAATTATTTTAACACCAAATTTTTGTCGTTCATTCCTCTATCAAACTCACATTATCGAAAAATATAAAAAAATATTTTCAATAAAATAAAATGATCAAAATACTTTTGAAAGTTTTAAGGGGTATTTTGATCATTATCTTTTATTGAAAAATTATTTTTAATAGTTTTTTATAGATGCGCCCCAATGAGGAGAAGGCACGTACCAAATTTCAAACGATGAGTGGTTCTAATATCAAACGATGAGTGGCTCTCTTGATCAAAATTGGACGGCTGGATGGTAGGGGGAGGATAAAACTTCTATGCTGAAGGGGAATCATATAAACCTTTTCCATATATAT